GCAGTGTTTTTCCTCAAGTACATGAACACATATGCTTACAGCTACACAAGCTTGATTTCACGTTCCATTGCGTTACTTAATGTGTCTGCGTGCAAATTCATAAGCAACGCAAATGCATGTTGCATCCTCAGCATTGCTGCAAGGCTCCCTGCAGCAGCATTAGCTTTCGTCTACGGTTAATTTCCTTTTTCAGATCAAATACTTTCATACCAGAGCAAAGTTTGAAGAAAATTTTGCTGAGTAAGTTAGTGAGTAAAACTTTGACATGTTTACAGCAGCTACCTGACTAATAACACACCTGGTTTAATGTCTTACGTACTGAAGTTTCACAGTAACACAAGAACACGTTTAGTGTGTTGGTCAAGCACGTGTGTATTTGTGTAGAGTGTGTTTCTGGTCAAACGCACACAGGTCTCTGATTATGTAAACCTTGGTCTTCTGTGTTTGTGTGTGTGTGTGTCATGGCTTGTCGTCAGAGAGAGAGGTAAAGGTAAAGATGGAGGGATGTTAACATGACACAGGGGCTGATGGAGTTTCATGATGAAAGTCTCTTGGGAGGCGCTTGATATTTCTGACACAGAATGAGCGGATGGACGGATATCAGAGGTAGAGATCCGTATGATGCCCTGAAGGAAAGATGTTACGCTGGAATGAATGAGTCTGACTGAGAGAGAACGAGAGCAGAGCAGAGAAACACCAGCACATCAGAGAAGAAGAGTTCATTTGTGAAGCAAAAATGTGATTAAAAATATGGTGATTAGTTACAGCACCTCGAACACACACTGTCATGTATTGTCATATAGTTCAGCATTTGATGTAAGGCAATTGATATGTTATGCATCATTAAGGTAAACTAAGTGTGTGTGTGTGTCAGATTTACATCTATATATTCATAATTTACACTTACATATACTCAGATTTATAAATATATATTCTGAATTACATTTATATATTCAGATTTATAAATATATATTCTGATTTACTTCTATATATTCACAATTTACATTTATATGTTCAGACATTATATAATGATTTCCTGTTTGGTGCTTCATAATTTGATAATAAATATATGTGACCCTGGAGCAAAAAACCAGTCATAAGGGTCAATTTGTTG